AGTTCCAAGCCTTTGTTGATAAAGTGACGCGGTCCTTGGATGACCTTAAACTCCTATTACAAGGGATTATGGAGAACCAACCCTCACCCGATACCCCAGACCTCCATCAATCCCTTGCCATCCTCCAACGCCATCTAAACCAAATAGACACCCAAACCCAAACCAACTCATCCTGCCTCCAAATCCTCCAACAAACAATAACCCAACAACACAATACCATATCATCCTTAGCCACCCAAAGAAACCAAGTTATTATCCAATCCATCGCCACCCTCACGGCTCAGGCAATTGAGACCGATGAAAACCTAACCTACATCATTACCCAACTACAAACCATCATTCGCACCCTTCATCAACTACCAGCCTCCATCACCTCCCAATACCCCAACCTCAACCTTCATCCACATCATCCATCAATGAAACTCTTGCCACCCTCACCAACCAAATGGCCACCATCCAAACAACCCTCACCCAATTACCCACCACCATACTTAACCAAATCCCATCACAAACTCAAGCCCCACCTCCCTCTGCAGGCCCCTCCTATGAAACAGCCTTCTCATCCTTCACTGCAGAGGTGAGGAATCTTATTGCTAACCTTCCGCATCTTCCATCTTCTGCAACAACCTCTGTGCCACCTCCTCCCTCTACAGGCACAAACTTTGCCACAAGAGCAGATCTACGGACTCTTTCAAAGGCACTTATCTCTTCATTCAATGAGATAAGTGCAAAGTTTGCTGCTCGATCTGTTGTACCCACCACTGCGCTGAGTAAGAGTTTACAATGCCAGTAAGAACGTACAAACACTCTCCTTCGCACAATGGAAGAACGGCGCAGAAAGGATCAAGTGTGCACTCTCGCTTCCCACATTCGCATGTGGAAAAAGAAGAATCAATCAAGAGTTTCCTGCTCTTCCAGCCGCCCCTACAAACGCCCAAGGCATGAAGACCAAGACCCCGATGATCAAGGTCTTGGACCTCATAAGGGGGAGACAGAGGCGGCTGCTACTCAACAAACAGGATCCGCTGCACCACAACAACCATCCCAACAACAACCATCCCAAGAGCAACAACCATCAACCCAACAAACCCAAGCTAGGGAACCAGAGGCCTTGCCCTCTGATGAAGAACAGAATATCCAAGTTCCCTTAGCCACAACTCCAGACCCCATCGTGTTGAGTTCCTCAACCGATGAAGAACCGACCACCCCACCAACACAACAAAACCAACCTCTTTCTTGTACACCCACAACAAACCTACCCTTAACCCCTTCACCAACACCTTGCACAACTCAACCCTTCATCTTCTCCACATAACTAGAACCCACAACAACCAAACCTTCTTCACCCCAACAACCGGAACCCATAACAACCCAACCAACCAAAGAAAACTCACCCACTACCCAACACAACCAGCCGAGACACAACCCATGGTGCATGCGAACATTCCTTCTTCCTCAAGGAATCCTCCTCAAGGCCTGGTGGACGAAATAATTCAAAACATGGAGTCGTTAAGGAGAAGACCTCAATTGCCGCCCAGGAAACCAATAATGATGGAAAATATCCATCAATACATGTACCGAGAACGCGAAGAAAGCCTGTCAACCAATCCTCCAATCCTATCACCAGAATCTATGAACCTTCTACATCATCGTTTCATAAGACAAACTACTCAACCACCACATGCTGTCTTTTCGAACGATGGAATAAGAA